GATCTCAGCTCACTGCAAGCTCCGCCTCCTGGGTTTACGCCATTCTCCTGCCTCGGCCTCCTGAGTAGCTGGGACTACAGGCGCCCGCCACCTCGCCCAGCTAGTTTTTTTGTATTTTTTAGTAGAGACAGGGTTTCACCGTGTTAGCCAGTGGTCTCGATCTCCTGACCTTGTGATCCACCCGTCTCGGCCTCCCAAAGTGCTGGGATTACAGGCTTGAGCCACCGCGCCCGGCCTTTTTTTCCTTTTTTCTGAGATGGAGTCTCACTCTTTTACCCACGGTTGAGTGCAGGCCCTGAGCTGGGCTCACTGAAAACACTGCCTCTGGGGTTCAAGTGATCCTCTTTCCTCTGTCTCCAGAGTAGCTAGGATTATAGTCATGCACCACCATGCCTGGCTAATATTTACATTAATTAATTAATCAATTTGTTTCTTTTTGAGTCAGAGTCTAACTCTGTCACCCATGCTGGAGTGCAGTGCTGCGATCTCTGTCTTCTGGAGTCATATGATTCTTAATTTTTTTTATATTTAGTGGAGACAGGGTTTCATGTAAGCCAGGCTGTTCTCGAACTCCTGACTTCAAATGATCTGCCTGCCTTGGCTTCCAGCAGTGATGGGATTTCAGACATGAGCCACAGCACCCGGTCCCTTTCTGGTTGAAAATTTTCAAGATGAAAAATAATGGCATTGATTTTAGGGAGTCCCTTTACTGTTCCCCCAGCATGTTCATGGTGTGAACTGAGAATGTAGGCTGTCTGGGGCCACAGGATACTGTCATTCTCTTTGCTTAGGGTGGTAAGTGACAAGACATTTTTCCTCAAAGAGGTAGAGCTTGGCTTTCAGGATCCTCAGTGACACTGTCCAGTGGTTCTGGGATTCAATCAAGCAATGGATGAAAATTAATGGGCCAGTGGTCTCCTTTACCCCTCCCTCCTTGGTGTGTGGAAGACATTCTTCCTGGTACCAGCAGCAGCAGAAATATAGATTTGAGGCCACAAAGTGTGGAGTGGAATTGGGGTAAACTGGTAATTTTTCTACCTCTACCAGAGCAAGGATATGGTCCTAGGAGAAGACGAGGTGATTGTGTTTGCTCCGAGAGTGATGCGTTTTCCCTGGGTTTGTCTTCTAGAGTGTTTTCCTTGCAAATCCATCAGGATGAGCATCCGGGCCCCACCCAGACTCCTGGAGCTGGCGGGGCAGAGCCTGCTGAGAGACCAGGGCTTGGCCGTCTCTGCCATGGAGGAGCTGCCCAGGGTGCTCTATCTCCCACTCTTCATGGAGGCCTTCAGCAGGAGACACTTCGAGGCTCTGACGGTGATGGTGCAGGCCTGGCCCTTCACCCGCCTCCCTCTGGGATCGCTGATGAAGACGCTTCATCTGGAGACTTTAAAAGCGTTGCTGGAAGGGCTTCATATGGTGCTTACACAGAAGGATCGCCCCAGGTGAGGTGACCCAGGTGGGCTGGTAGATAGGGCTCAGGTGTCCAGGGAAAGAACAGCAGGGTCAGGCTGAGAAGTAGCCCAACGGTGGCCCAGTGTCTTCGGATGGTGCTGGTGAGGAAGCTCAGCGAGGCTTTGGCCATTGTCCAGATCCTCAGGGAAAGGACTGCTCCTCATACAGGGTCCACCATGGGAACAGAAACCTGCCTATTCACAGTGGAAGGCAAAGGGAATACAAGTGGGGACCAGTCAGAATTGAAAGGGAAAAGGGATCGAGAAAGACAGAGAGAGAACAGGGAGCACCGAGGACAGGAGCAGCTGATTAATGGGATGAGAATGAAAGCAAAGGTCAGGGATGGGTCCTTCTAAATTCTGAGTCTCTCCCTTACTTTACCTACAGGAGGTGGAAACTTCAAGTTCTGGATTTGCGGGATGTTGATGAGAATTTCTGGGCCGTACGGCCTGGAGCCTGGGCCCTGTCCTGCTCCCCAGAGGCCACGAGTATGAGGCAGACAGCAGAGGACTGTCCGAGGATGGGAGAGCACCAGCCCTTGAAGGTGTTCATAGACATCTGCGTCAAGGAAATACCTCAGGATGAATGCCTGAGATACCTCTTTCGGTGGGTTTACCAAAGGAGAGGTTTAGTACACCTGTGCTGTAGTAAGCTGGTGAATTATCTAACGCCGATTAAATATCTCAGAAAGTCTTTGAAAATAATCCACCTGGATAGTATTCAGGAGCTGGAAATCCGCAACATGTCTTGGCCACGTCTGATAAGAAAGCTTCGTTGTTACCTGAAGGAGATGAAGAATCTTCGCAAACTCATTTTCTCCAGGTGCCATCATTACACGTCAGACAATGACCTCGAGGGACGGTTAGTCGCCAAATTTGGCTCTGTGTTCCTCAGGCTGGAACACCTCCAGTCGCTTAAAATAAAATTGGTCACCTTCTTCAGTGGACACCTGGAACAGCTGATCAGGTGAGAAAGGATTGCGCACTTTCTCTGCAGACCACAGCACAGCCTTGTTTTGTTACAGCAAACACTGGAAGGCATGTACTGTGTGCCAGTCAGTGGCAACGTCACAGTGAAGGGGACACCAGAATGTCAACACATTGTCCCATTCAGGGCTCCGTGTCCTGGAGTGGCTATCACAGGATCGCTCCAATGTGGGCAGCGGGGTCACCTGGGGTAGAGGCTAGAGAGAGACATCATGTACAAGCTAGTTAGTGGGGGTTTCGGCTCTACCGGGGTGCACGTGTGAATTTCTTGTACAAAGTGTGTTTCAAGTTGATATGATATAAAAGAGGTAATAGATGAGGGTATGAAAGGAGGGAAGGTGCATCAAACCTGTGCATGTCACAGTAGAAGCTCTGTCCTCAACAGCTTAGTGATCACGAATGATTCTGTCTCTAATTCCCTGTCTGTAAAAGGTTGTTTTGAACCCCAGGAAAGGTAATTGACATGGGAAATGCCTGCTTCTTGAATGGAGGGTGAGGAAGTAGGCATGAGAGTGGTAAAAAGTGATAGTTGCTTTGCAGATGCAGGCATGTCCGGGAGCCCCTGCCAGCACGTAGCCCTAGCTGATGTCCCTAGACCTTGCTGAATTGAGTTCTTTGTGCACATCTCCCACTGGGTACCTGTGGCCCAGAGATGAAGTTTTCTGCTAAAAGAAACAAGGTTTTAGAGATTTTGTGGCCTTGAACCAATCACACAAGCAATGGTGAAAGGGCTGAGCCTAAAATGGGACTGTCCTGAATGATCAGAGTCCTTATCACATAGCAACTTGCATGCGGTCCATCATCACGTGATGGGAATAAACTTGTGTTTCGGTGAAGCAGTCATTTCCCTTGAGGTTATTCCCCACTACCTTCATCTAACTGGTACCATTGCCCAGAACTAACTTCTTGATCTCCACAGGTGCCTCCAGAACCCCTTGGAGAACTTGGAATTGACTTGTGGCTACCTATTGGAAGAGGACGTGAAGTGTCTCTCCCAGTACCCAAACCTCGGTTACCTGAAGCATCTGAATCTCAGCTACGTGCCGCTGTTCCGCCTCAGTCTTGAGCCCCTCGGAGCTCTGCTAGAGAAAGTTGCTGCCACTCTCGAGACCCTCATCTTGGAGGGCTGTCAGATCCACTACTCCCAACTCAGTGCCATCCTGCCTGGCCTGAGTTGCTGCTCCCAGCTCACCACCTTCTACTTTGGCAGAAATTTCATGTCTGTGGATGCCCTGAAGGACCTGCTGCGCCACACCAGTGGGCTGAGCAAGTTAAGCCTGGAGACATATCCCGCCCCTGATGAGAGTTTGAATTCCTTGGTTCGTGTCGATTGGGAGATCTTCACCCCGCTTCGGGCTGAGCTGATGCGGACACTGAGGGAAGTCAGGCAGCCCAGAAGGATCTTCATTGGCCCCATCCCCTGCCCTTCCTGCGGCTCATCACCGTCTGAGGAACTGGAGCTCCATCTTTGCTGCTAGGGAAGGCGTGCCTAGCGGGGTAGATCCATCCAAAGTTCTCTTCCAGGCTCTTGGACACTAAAATCTAGTATGTACGTGCAAGTTAGGTTTTTTTTTTCTCTTATTTACTTTTTTAATAATTCTAAAATTTTATTAAAGAAAATTTGAGACAGGATTTTGCTGTGTTGTACCAGCGGGTCTCAAACTGCTGGGTGCATGGGATTATCTTGCCTCAGTCTCCTAAAGTGCTGGGATTACTGGCATGAATGACTGTGACCAGGCCACATGCAACTTACAGGAAGCACAGAACTCTTTGCTTCAGGCAGGTGCTCACTGCGAGGGAAAAAACATAACAGCAGGGGGCAAGACTGGAGGAAAATGTTGAGGTGGAGTCAATGAGACCTTCCGGGACCCGTGTCCTGCAGAGTCAGAAAGAGAAGCTAAAGTTCTACAGTGATGAGCATGTTATCCCTGTAAGGATGGTTACCCAGAAATATCAGAAATAAAGAACCTCAATGAAAACGTTCTGGTGTCCTCTGCATTTGATTGACTAGTTTTAGTGATTTATACATCAGAAATATCTAGCTATTTAGTGATTGATGGAAAAATAACGAAGTACTCTGTCATCTGTGATTCAGGTTGAGTTGCAGAACATCTAATTCCCACCTATTGTTCTTTGCTTTTTTTTTTTTTTGCGACAAAATCTTGCTTTGTCACCCAGGCTGCAGTGCAGTGAGCCTTCTGGGCTCACTGCAATCCTTTTCTTCGGGGTTCAAATGATTTTCATGCCTCAGCCACTCCAGTAGCTGGGATTACATGTAAGTGCCACCAAGCCTGCTAATTTTTGTATTTTTGGTAGAGACGGGGTTTTTCCGTGTTTGCCAGGCTGGTCTTGAGCTCCTGGCTTCCAGTGATCTGCTGACCTTGGCCTCCCAAAGTGCTGGGATTATGGATGTGCTAATAATCTCCAATTCTTTACTTCTCTTCAGTCATCTGTTTTTTCCTTATTTTTTTTGCCTGCAAGGAGCAGCTCAGTCAGGCACAAAGGGACAGGCAGGGAGGGGCCCTGAGGAGAAGATGGGCTTGAGGTGGTAGGTAGAGGTGGTAGGCAAGCTGGGGTCAAGCTACAGGGGCCTGTGTTGGGAAGCACAAATGGCATCCAGTTCAATGATCTGGCTAGCTTTGGGGCCACTGTGCCCACTCTGCTAACAGTTCCAAGGTCCTGGGTCTGGAAGGAAGGTTCTGTGCTAATCCTCCTGAGGCTGCATTTCCAAGATCTGCCCCCTACAGGGGTGACCGCAGAGCCTGATGTTCCTGATTGTTGGGTCTGGGGACCGCGATCCACCCCTGGAGGCACCCCACCTTGGCAGAGTTTTGAGCCAGGCCTGTGTCCCATGTCCCCCACAGCCAGCTCTGCCACCCATACCCTCTCATGGCTAAATGGGACCCGCTCCCAGGTCTGGAGCCTCTACAAAGCCTTGACCTCACTCCTCACTGCCTGCAGTTAACCTGCAATATACTGAACTAGAGAGCAGTTGGGGCTCATTAAACCAGACCCAGAAGCATGGGGTTTGTTTTGCAGGGTTGCCCAGAGCTGCTGTGAACCTGCATCTCACCCGTCACCTCTGTGGAGAAACACAGAGAGGGCACTGCCGAGGCTGCGCACACTTTGCAGCCGATGGGAGCCTGGGACAAGAGGGAGTCCTGGCCCTCCTGAGTTGGCAGGACAGTAGCTCCAAGGACGCAACTGAGGCTGCCCCGGTCACAGTTGCAACCAAGGTCCCCCAGTACTCTTGAGACCCCAGGAGGTCTCCCCTTCCCCTGCAGCAAGGGGGTGTCTGCTCCCACTGTGTGGTCCCTCCTGGCACCTGCTATAATTTTGGAGCGGGGTTGGAGTTGAACCTGTATGCTGTCGCAGCCCAGGTGAGTGTGTGCACACTCAGGTTAATGCTGATGCACCGTCCCCTGCTGTCATAACACTCTGGGTTTTGGGCCCTGATGAGCATGGGAGGGAGGCTGAGAGGGGACTGAGGACAGATCAGCGCTGGCCTTTGGATGCTCCTTGGTGCGAGTGACCTGGGCGCGGTGGGTGGTGGTGGGAGGCAGACAGACTCGTGGATGGGAAGGTGAGGGTCCCTGGTGAGGCTCTACCTTCTGACCAAGGAGGGCCTGAACCCCGTGGACAGGCCACCAGTCCTACCGACCAGAGTGGGGACATGTGGTGCCTTTTCTGTGCCTGTCCATAGCTACCTATGACCCAAGCGGCACATACTTCCTCCCGCATGATGCCCAAAAGAGCCCCAGACTCAGGGAGAACATCAGGATGAGCAGCAGCAGAGAAACTACCCATTCTTGGGATGATTTTCCTGCAGAGAAGCAACTCACTCCAGGGCCTTTTCTCTCTTGAGAGTTGTGGAGATGATGAGATGACTTTCCTGGAGAGAGCAGCAGCCCACTTCAGGGCCTCCTCTCTACTGAGGGCTGTGGTGATGACGGAACAACCCGCCAGGAGAGAGGGGCCACCCACCCAAGGGCCTCCTCTCTGCTCAGGGCTGAACACTCATCAGGACACCCTGGCTGCAGAAAGAAGTTACCTACTGTGGGTCTCTGAGTTGTTCCATTGCTCAATAAAGCTCTTTTTTGTCTTGCTCACCCTCCACTTGTCTGCATATTTCATTCTTCCTGGTCATAGGACAAGAACTCGGGACCCACCTAATGGTAGGGCTAAAAGAGCAATAACACAAAGAAAGCGGAACCGTGCCCCTTGCTCACCAAGTTGTAGGTGAAGAGAAAAAGAGAAGAGTTACTACTGGAGCTCTTCCAGGAGCCCAGATGTGGGAGCTTCCCAAGCCAGGTCTGTGACTCCCTTTTCGGGGTTCTGCACTTTCTGGCATTTCCAAGTTTTCAGACCCCACCGTGTACTCCAGGGACAAACATGGAAGCTGCTTGTGTTGTGCCTGGTTCATTTTCAGCCTTGCAAAAATCTGGCACCTGTGCTGGCTGCTGGAGCTGCCTGCCCCACTGCTGCAGGGACCAGTGACTGTCCAAAGTGGCCAGATCCCCTGCTCACTCACACACCCCTCACCATTCCAGCTCTGATCTGCCCTTAATAGGCATGGGATCCAGATCTGAAGCATGAGTCAAACAGAGTCTACCAGGCTGAGTGGGCAGAAAAAACCCAGTGAACCCCATCAAAACTCTGGCAAAAGTGCCCCAAGCTACAGAGGTTTCTGGCCAGAAAAGTCACATCCCAAGGATTCCATTAGAGAAAATTACCTAAACACAAAGAAAGACAATAAGAAAAGAAGGATGGAAGAGAGAAGTCTCTAAACAACCAGAAAACAAGAAATGAAATGAGAGTACTAAGCCTTTATCAATAATAACAATGAATACAATTTATCTCAATTCTGCAAGTGAAAGGCATAGAGTCCTTGAATGAGTAAAAGAATAAGACCCAACTACATGCTGCTTTCCAGAAACTCATTTCACCTATAAGGATACATGTAGACTGAAAGTGAAGGGGTAGAAAAAGATATTCCATGCAACTGGAAACCGAAAAACAGCAACAGTAGCTGTACTTACATCAGGTAAAATAGGTGCCAAATGCAGAATGTACTCAGGTAAAATAGAATACAAACCTAAGTTTGTAAAATAATAGACTACGCTTACACAAACTATCCATAGAAAGAATATACATCAAAATAATAGAAGCCAAAAATGACAAATCCACATGCAACATCATATTGAATGAAGAAATGTTGAAAGTATTCCCAGTAAGATCTACAAGCAGACAAAGATGCTCACTTCACCCACTGTAATCAATGAAGGACTGAAAGTTCTTGTCAGAGCAATCTGGCAAGTGAAAGAAATAAAGGACATTTAAATTGGAAAGAAGGAAGTGAAACTACCTGTGTTTGCCAATGATATGATGATATGTGCTTAGAAAACCCGAAAGATTCCACGAAAAGACTGGTAGATGAGATAAATGAATTCAGTTAAGTCTCAGGTACAAAATCTATACGTACAAATCAGTACCACTGTTTTAAACCAACAACAAGGAAGCTGAGAATCAAATCAAGAACAGAATCCCATTACAATGGTTGCAAAACAGCAACAACAAAAACAGTGACAACAGCAAAAATAACCTAGGAATGCACTTAACCATTAGGTAAAGGATCTCTACAAGGAGAATTAGAAGACACTGCTGACAAAAATCATAGATGACAAAAAAAAGGAAAAACATCCCATGCTCATGGATTGACAGGCACAATGTCATGAAAATGACCACACTGCCCAAAGCAATCTAAAAACTGCAAACATCAAACATCAATCTAAAAACGTCAATCTAAAAATTGCACACACCAAAATACAAACATCATTTTTCACAAGATTACAAAAAGAATCCTAAAATTCATATGAAGCTGAAAAAGAAGCTGAAGAGCCAAAGCAATCTTAGGCAAAATGAACAAATATGGAGGCATCACATTACCTGACTTCAAATTATATGGTAAGGCAATAGTAAGCAAAACTGCATGGTGCCAGTATAAAGGTTGAGACATAGACCAATGGAACAGAAAACCCAGAAATAAAGCCACATACTTACAACCAAATGTTGTAATATGGGGCCAAAGTTGTTGGATTTTTCCGCCAAGAAAAACCAGAGAGTGAATTGTGATACCCTGTTTGATTTTTAGACTCTGCCTACTGCCATAGTGCTTAGGTCGTCTCCAGGTGCTCGAGAGACTCAGTCACCAGCTGGTGTCCACATTCTTGACACCGCTGCAAGAAAGAGTTTAGGAAGCGGGCAGAACGAAGCAAAACGGAAGTGTCTTTTGCAAAGCAAAGGTACACACTTAAGAGGGTGTACTCAGGAGAGTGAGTCGTGTGCAAGGGAGTTTGGGTTTCTAATTTTATAGGATCTCTAAGGAGAGGATGGAATAATTATTAGGATTTCAAGAAAAAATGGTGAAGTTTTCTTAGAACTGAGGTGTCTGTCACCTATTTTTTAAGTATTTTGAGATGGAGCTTTGCTCTCGTTGCGCAGGCTAGAGTGCAATAGCGGGATCTTGGCTCACTGCAACCTCTGCCCCCCAGGTTCTAGCAATTCTTCTGCCTCAGCCTTGTGAGTTGCTGGGATTACAGCCATGCGCCACCACACTTGGCTAATTTTGAATCTGTAGTAGAGATGGGATTTCTCCATGTTGGTCAGATTGGTCTCAAACTCCTGACCTCAGCTGATCCGCCTGCCTTGGGCTCCCAAAGTGTTGGGATTACAGGCACGAGCCACTGTGCCTGGCTAGATGTCACCTATTTTTATACTAAATATGGACATGCTCAGAACTGTCCTGGCACTGGTGTGTGACTTGGTGTCATAACGAGTATATAATTAGCTCTGGGATAGGGCATAGGTCAAACCCAATGCCATGTTAGACCCAGTCAGTGTCAACCAGCTTAGCCCTGTCCTGCTTCTTTGGGTCTTATTGGTCAAGGCTTATCCTTATTCTTGTAGCTAATTTTGCAAGCTCTTTCCTTGCTACTATATGAAATCAGTGCTTGATATTTTCTTGCTTCTGTTGTGACCAGCCAACATTCCTATTATTTTATGGGTATTTCTTTTCTTTCTTTTTTTCTTTTTTTTTTTCATACTTTAAGTTCTGCAATACATGTGCAGAACGTGCAGTTTTGTTACATAGGTAGACACATGCCATGGTGGTTTGCTGCACCCATCATCTACATTAGATATTTCTCCTATTGCTATCTCTCCCCTAGCCCTCCACACCCCGAGAGGTCCCAGTGTGTGATATTCCCCTACTTGTGTCCATGAGTTCTCACTGTTCAATTTCCACTTGCAAATGAGAACATGTGGTGTTTGGTTTTCTGTTTCTGTGTTAGTTTGCTGAGAATGATGATTTCTAGCTTCATCCATGTCCCTGCAAAGGACATGAACTAATTTTTTTTTATGACTGCATAGTATTCTATGGTGTATATGTGCCACATTTTCTTTATCCAATCTATCACTGATGGGCATTTGGGTTGGTTCCAAGTCTTTGCTGTTGTGAATAGTGCTGCAATAAACATACGTGTGCATGTGTCTTTATAGAATGATTTATAATCCTTTGGATATATACCCAGTAATGGGATGGCTGGATCAAACGGTATTTCTGGTTCTAGATCCTTGAGGAATCGCCACACTGTCTTTCACAATGGTTGAACTAATTTACGCTCCCACCAACAGTATAAAACCATTCCTATTTCTCCACATCCTTTCTAGCATCTGTTGTTTCCTGACTTTTTAATGATCACCATTCTAACTGGTGTGAGATAGCATCTCATTGTGGTTTTGATTTGCATTTCTCTAATGCAAATCAAATGACCAGTGATGATGAGCTTTTTTTCATATGTTTGTTGGCCAGATGTTTTTGAGAATTGTCTGCTTATATCCTTCACCCACGTTTTGATGGGGTTATTTTATTCTTGTAAATTTGTTTAAGTTCCCTGTAGATTCTGGATATTAGCCATTTGTCTGATGGATAGATAGCAAAAATTTTCTCCCATTCTGTAGGTTGCCTGTTGACTCTGATGACAGTTTCTTTGGCTGTGCAAAAGTTCTTTATTTTAATTAGATCCCATTTGTCAATTTTGGCTTTTGTTGCCACTGGTTTTGGTATTTTCGCCATGAAGTCTTTGCCCATGCCTATGTCCTGAATGGTATTGCCTAGGTTTTCTTCTAGGGTTTTTATGGTTTTAGGTCTTACATTTACGTCTTTAATCCATCTCGAGTTAATTTTTGTATAAGGTGTAAGGAAGGGGTCCAGTTTCAGTCTTTTGCATATGACTAGCCAGTTTTCCCAACACCATTTATTAAATAGGGAATCGTTTCCCAGTTGGTTGTTTTTGTCAGATTTGTCAAGGATCAGATGGTTGTAGATGTGTGGCATTATTTCTGAGGCCTCTATTCTGTTCCATTGGTCTACATGTCCATTTTGGTAACTGTACCATGCTGTTTTGGTAACTGTAGCCTTGTAGTATAGTTTGAAGTCAGGTAGCATGATGCCTCCAGCTTTGTTCTTTTTGCTTAGGATTGTCTTGTGTATGCAGGTTCTTTTTCATTTCCATATTAAGTTTTAAGTAGTTTTTTCTCATTCCATGAAGAAACTCAGTGGTAGCTTGATGGGGATAGCACTGAATCTACAAATTACTTTGGGCAGTATGGCCATTTTCATGATATGAATTCTTCCTATCCATGAGCATGGAATGTTTTTACATTTTTTTGTGTCCTCTCTTATTTCCTTGAGCAGTGGTTTGTAGTTCTCCTTGAAGAGGTTCTTCACATCCATTGTAAGCTGTATTCCTAGGTATTTTATTCTCTTTGTAGCAGTTGTGAATGGGAGGTCACTCATAATTTGGCTCTCTGTTTGTCTATTGTTGGTATATAGGAATGCTTGTGATTTTTGCACATTGATTTTGTATCCTGAGACTTTACTGAAGTTGCTTATCAGCTTAAGGAGATTTTGGGCTGAGACGATGGGGTTCTCTAAATATAAAACCATGTCATCTACAAACAGACGATTTGACTTCCTCTCTTCCTGTTTGAATACTCTTTATTTCTTTCTCTTGCCTGAGTGCCCTGGCCAGAACTTCCAATACTATGCCGAGTAGGAGTGGTGAGAGAGGACGTGAAGTGTCTCTCCCAGTACCCAAGCCTCGGTTACCTAAAGCATCTGAATCTCAGCTACCTGCCGCTGTTCCGCCTCAGTCTTGAGCCCCTCGGAGCTCTGCTAGAGAAAGTTGCTGCCACTCTCGAGACCCTCATCTTGGAGGGCTGTCAGATCCACTACTCCCAACTCAGTGCCATCCTGCCCGGCCTGAGCCGCTGCTCCCAGCTCACCACCTTCTACTTCGGCAGAAATTTCATGTCTATGGACGCCCTGAAGGACCTACTGCGCCACACCAGTGGGCTGAGCAAGTTAAGCCTGGAGACGTATCCCGCCCCTTGGGAGAGTTTGGATTCCTTGGTTCCTGTCAATTGGAAGATCTTCACCCCACTTCGGGCTGAGCTGATGCGGACACTGAGGGAAGTCAGGCAGCCCAGGAGGATCTTCATTGGTCCCACCCCCTGCCCTTCCTGCGGCTCATCACCGTCTGAGGAACTGGAGCTCCATCTTTGCTGCTAGGGAAGGCGTGCCTAGCGGGGTAGATACATCCAAAGTTCTCTTCCAGGCACGTGGACACTAAAATATAGTATGTAGGTGCAAGTTATTTTTCTTATTTCTTATTTCTTTTTTAATAATTCTAAAATTTTTTTTTAAAAAAATTTGAGACAGGATTTCGCTATGTTGCCCCAGCTGGTCTCAAACTGCTGGGCACATGGGATTCTCCTACCTCGGTCTCCTAAAGTGCTGGAATTGCAGGCATGAACGATTGTGACCAGGCCACATGTACCGCTTAAAGGAATCACCGAACTCTTTGCTTCAGGCAAGTACTCAGTGCGGTGGAAAAAAACATAAGAGGTAGGGGTAAGACAGGAGGAAAATGTTGAGGTGGAGTCAATGAGACCTTCAGAGACCCGTGTCCTACAGCGTCAGAGAGAGAACCTAAAGTTCTACAGTGATGAGAATGTTATCCCTGCAAAGATGGTTACAAAGAAATATCAGAAATAAAGGGAACCTCAACGAGAACTTTCTGGTGTCCTCTGTATTTGTTTCACTTGTTTTAGCCATTTATACATCAGAAATCTCTAGTTACTGAGTTACGGATGGAAAAATAACGCAGTACTAATTTGTCTGTGATTGAGGTTCAGCTGTAGAACATCAAAGCAACCAAATAAAATTAGATCATTTTGAGAAATTCTCACCAATTCTTGTTCTTTTTATTTTATTTTATTTTTGGAGAGAAAAGTGTCACTTCGTCCCCCTAGCTGGTGTGCAATGGTGCAATCTGGGCTGACTGCAATCCTTTCCTTCAGGGCTCAAATCATTCTCATGCCTCAACCACTTAAGGAGCTGGGACTACAGGCACGTGCCACCAAGCCTGGCTAATTTTTGTATTTCTAGTGGAGACAGGGTTTTGTCATTTTGACCAGGCTGGTCTTGAGTTCCTGGCTTTGAGTGATCCGCCAACCTTGGCCTCTCAAAGTGCTGGGATTACGGGTGTGCCAATGGTCTCCACCCATTCTTCTCTTAAGTCATCTGTTTTTTTCCTTACTGTTTCACCTTTAGGGAGCAACCCAGTCGGGCACAAAGGGTGGGGCAGAGAGCGGCTCTGAGGAGAAGATGGACTTGGGGTGGTGCCATACTTGCACATGAAGTGTGATTGCCAGGTTCAGAAAGCAGAGCTGGGGCCATGCTCCAGGGGTGTGGTTGGGAAGCAGAAATGGCACCTGGTTCAATGACCTGGTCAGCTGTGCGGCCACTGTGCCCGCCCTGCTAACAGCATCAATTTCCTGGGCCTCAAAGGGAGGTTCTGTGGAAATCCTCCCGAAGCTGTGTTTCCAAGATCTGCCCACCACAGGGGTGACCACAGAGCCTGATGCTCCCGATTGTTGGGCCTGTGCCCCATGTCACTGAGGCAGCCAACTGTGTCACCCATACCGTCTCATGGCTAAACGGGACCCGCTCCCAGGTCTGAAGGCTCTACCAAGCCTCGACCTCACTCCTCACTGCGTGCTGTTAGCCTGCAATCTTCTTGAAAAGAGTGCATTTGGGGCTCGTTAATCCAGACCCAGGAGCATTGGGTTTGTTTGTGTGGCGTTGGCCAGAGCTGCTATGAACCTATCACCTCTGTGGGGAAACACAGAGAGAGGGCACAGCCGAGGCTGCGTACACTTTGGAGCTGATGGGAGCCTGGAACAAGAAGGAATCCTGATCTTCCTGAGTTGGTAGGGCAGTAGCTCCAAAGGCGCAACTGAAGCTGCCCAGGTTGCAAGTACCAACTGAGGTCCCCCAGTGCTCTGGAGGGCCCAGGAGTTTCCCCCTTCCCCTGCAGCTGGGGATGTCTGCTCCCACACCTTGTCTCTCCCAGCACCTGCTCTAATTTTGGAGGTGGATTGGGGTGGAGCCCAGATGCTGTTGCAGCCTAAGTGGATTTGTGTATGCTTGGGGCAGTCCTGAGGCAACGTCTTCCTGCTGTCTTGAACCCTCTGGACTTTGGGCACTGACCAGCATGGGAGGGGGCTGAGGACAGATCAGCACTGGCCTTTGGATGCTCCCTGGTGCATGTGATCTGGGTGCCATGAATGTTGGTGGCCAAGAGACCAACTCCTGGGCGGGAAAGCGAGGGTCCCTGGTGAGGTTTCACTGTCCGACCAGGGAGGGCCTGAAGCTGGTGGGCTGGGCTACCAGTCCTGTGGACCAGAGTGGGAACATGTGATGCCTCTTCTTTGCTTGCTCATGGCCACCTATGACCCAATCAACAAACACTTCATCCCCACTAATGCCTAAAAAAGTCCCAGACTCAGCCAGACCCAGGGAGAACATTGGGACACCTAGCAGCAGAGAGGAGCTACCCACTACTGGGATGGTTTTCCTGCAGGCAAAACAACCCACTTCAGGCCTCCTCCATGTTGAGAGCCGTGGAGATGATGAGATGACTTTCCTGGAGAGAGTGACAACCCACTTCAGGGCCTCCTCTCTAGTGAGAGCTGTGGTGATGATGGGACAACCCCAGGGCCTCTTCTCTTCTCAGAGCTGAACACTCATGAGGACACCCCGGCTGCAGAAAGAAGCTACCCGCTGTGGGTCTCTGAGCTGTTCTATCATTCAGTAAAGCTCCTGGTTATCTTGCTCATCCTCCACTTGTCTGTGTATTTCATTCTTCCTGTACGTGGGACAAGAACTTGGGACCCACCTAACGGTGCGGCTAAAAGAGCAAAAACACAAACAAAGCCCCTTGCTCACCATGTTGTGGGTGAAGAGAAAAACTGAAGAGCTGCTACTTGTCCAACAGCCCAGACATGGGAGCTTCCTGGGCCAAGGCTATGACTCTCTTTGGCGGGTTCTGCAGTTCCTGGCATTTCCAAGTTTCAGACTCCACCATGTACTCAAGTGCAAGCCTTGAAAGCTGATTGTGCTGCAACTGGTTCAGTTGCAGGCTTGTAGTGATCTGGCATCCGTGTTGGCACCTGGAACTGCCTGCCCCACTGCTGCAGCAGCCAGTGACTGTGCAAAGTGGCCAAACCCTGCCAACCCCCGACCCACCCCTGACCCACCTTTAATCAGCATGTGATCCAGACCTGAATCATGAGCCAAGCCTGGTCTACCAGGCTGAGTGGGGAGAAGGACCCAATCAAAACTTTTGCAAAGATGCCCAGCAACAGAGGTTTCTGTCCAGAAAAGTGACATCCCAAGGATTCCATAACAGAGTAAATTACTTAAATACAAAGACAGACAATATTAGCAATGAATATAAGAGGTCACAATTCTTCAATGGAAAGATATAGAGTGGTTGAATGAATAAAATAAGACCCCACTATATGCCGTCTTTCAGAAACTCACTTCACCTAGAAAGATACATGTAGACTGAAAATGAAGGGGTGAAAAAAGATATTTCATGCAACTGGAAAGCAAAAAATTGCAAAAGTAGTTATACTTATATCAGGTAAAATAAACACCAAATCTCAGAATGCACTCAGGTGAGACAGACCACAAATCCAATTTGTAAAATAATAGACTACACCCAGAATAGCAGGCGGCGCATCCCAGGCACTCAAAGTGGAAGTTTTGTTGTTATCGTTGTTGTTGTTTTGAGACGGAGTTTTGCTCTTTTGGCCCACCCAGGCTGGAGTGCAGTCGCACAGGCTCAATTCACCACAACTTCCGTCTCCTGAGTTCAAGTGATTCTCCTGCTGCCGCACCTGACTAATAGGAAGGGGAGGCACTGGGCGTTAAGAGTGTCAAATGTACCAAAATCTTCTCCGTGGTTTTTCCCCTG